GCCTAGCATATAGAGAAAGTATGCGCCAAATCAGCTCAGCAGAAACAGGGAGTCCATCGCCTGAATCCACCTGCGTCTCAGGGAAGCAAAGGTCTCTTTTGGTCAGCGATTAACCACCTAGCTGCCACCTGGAGACGCGCCACGTAGACTCGCGACTTACCGGCTCGAGATCTCTCATATGAGGGAGATCCGTGGAGGGACTCTGCTGGAGGGATAAATACCCGGCTCTAAATCGCAGCACGACACCGAAGAACACCTCCTAACCACGATGAGGCTGTAAACGTTGGAAGATATTATACATATATATATGTATATATATATATATATATGTATATATATATATATATATGTATATATATATCTATGAAATATGCAATACTATTTTATTAGGTTATCTGATTCTGATATTTTAATGTGAGTGAGCCCATTAACCCATGCATGTGAATTCTACGGTTAGCCTCCACGGGGAAGACTCGACTACGTTGCAGTCAGCTCGGCCTCTCCAGACTTTAAAGAAGTCGAAATCTGCCGAAACTTCAGCTACTATAAATAAACGATAAGATCACAACTCACGTGTGCTTATCAACGAAGCAGCGGACGATTTTAATCATGTGATTTTTCTAAATGAAACCATAGGTCATCTATACGAAAGATTATCATTGCTTCAACGATAATTTGTGATTATTGCCTTTTGAGACAGTGGCATGTGAAGACGAATAGCGCTTAATTGAAGACCATTTTATCCTTCAAGGCTTCTTTTAAAAAAACGCCGAGGCATCTCGTCCACTTCCCATCATTTTATTCTCTACTGCTTTTCTTATTATAGAAACGTCTCATTTGGCAACGATGGCAAAAGATCGATAGAACTAGCTGAGAGACAGGCAAAACGAAGGACCCGGATGGTGTGGTGGTGAATTGCGCTGCTCCCCGGTAAGGACAACAGCGCGTGTTCGTTCCCCACCGCATACACCTGCGGTCCAGACTTTTGCAAATATCTCAGCATCATTGAAGTTATGTCTCATTTCAATTCATATTTTCTATCCTTACTGTTATTTAGCGTTTTTGCTTTGCGTTTCTTTCTAATACGCATCACCGCTCCCACACTAATCCTTTCCCGCTAGTTCACGCGCAGTTCATGGGAATTGAGCCATCGATCGGTTCTGAGCACGTGCTAGTCACGTGGACGATGAGCAATTCGGTCGATAGGAGGAAGTGCGGCCAATCGAAGTTGCTGTCTTGCAATAACAAAAGCCGTCACTCGCCAGCTCTATACGTGTTATCCTCGTCCGAAACGCTTTGGATCTTGCAGGTCCACATTGCTCTTAAACCATTGGGTTTATTCGGATTGTGAATCAGCTTATATGCAATAATGCAATCGATTGATGTCCTCTTTGTCATTTCCCTGTGTCGCCGTCATATAGTTTTTTTTTACACGACTTTGATACTTTGGCAAGTACTAAAAATGCTTAGCAATACTTATAAGCTGAAAAATAGTGCGCATGTGGCGCATTGGTATAAGGCGGCCTGTAGCACACACGTGGGATTGATCCCCGCTTCCGTGGCTCACCAAGCCTTCCATCCCTTCGAGGTCGGCAAATTGGTACCAGATTTGTCTGAGAGGGTAGCAGCACTGGCTCGATAGATCGGTAGGCGACCGCGAGTCATTGTAAGCACCAGACAATCACCTCCAAACGATGTTTAATAAAGTTTACTACATGGCGCTTCCCTCAGGGATTGATCAACGCCTAGAGCTTTATTTTTTTTATAAGGTGAAAGCGATTCTTTTTCATATTTATTTGTATGATTTTATAAACTGATCTTCTTTAGCTGATGCGAGGTTGGTATAGGTTTTCGTTGTTGTTGCTGCTGGTTTTGGTGTCGTTGGTTCCGTAAGAGTGATAGAAATACCATCGGACACTCTAAGACGCCAGCTAGTTCGCAACCGCCTATATGACCGTCTGTGCATAACGAAAAACTGCATGATTTGCCCTAACGGTAGAAACGGTGATTGCATGAGTTCGGGTACAGTCTATCTAATCTCTTGTAAAACGTGCGGGGACGAATACGTTGGCGAAACGGGTAGACCGCTCTGCGTCCGCATGAAAGAACACATAGTCGGTAAATCTGAATTGAAACCAAACGCTCTCATAGACACGGATATGATACAGGAACACAACGGAGAAGAATTCTTTCCACTTCTGTTCAGCAAAAACGATGTGCTAATTCCACTTCTCCACTCACTTAAAAGCTGACGCTTCGGCGGATTTCGCCTTCCTCAGAGCCTGGAAAGGTCATGTTGACAGCGACCTATTCGGCCATACACCTTCATAACCAAACAGAGAAAACGCTAAACCAAGGTTTCAATCACATTTAACACAGCTCTGCACACTCACCGCTTTCTATGAGTCTTCCACTGAGTATGTCGTGTGAAGACCGACCGCACAGAATTCACATGGAAGCGTAATGTGCCCCTCCCATCATAATAACAGGTTTATATACTGCCCTATATCACGCGTGAAAATGAGGCATTCCTCCCTGTGGTTCATTTCCGGATTTTTGGAATTTATCTAGAACGCCTCGAGCAATCTTAGGCGCCAGCTAGTTCGTAACCGACTATATGACCGTCTATGTGCAACGCAAAATTGCATAATTTGCCCCAATGGTAAAGACGGTGATTGCATGAGCTCGGGTATAGTTTATCTGATCTCCTGTAAGACGTGTGGTGACGAATACATTGGCGAAACGGACAGACCCCTCTGTGTCCGCATAAAAGAACACCTAGCCGGAAAACATAAACCAAATACCCCGCTAGGCACGCATAGGACCCAGTGACATAACGAGGAGGACTTTGAAGTACGTATCACGATCCTCGCGCAGGAATCAAGAACACAAGCGCGCAAAACTCTCGAGGCGTTCTGTATTAATTCCAGAAATCCGAAAATGAACCACGGAGAAGAATGCCTCATTATCACGCGTGATATAGGGCAGTATATAAACTTGTTATTCTGATGGGAGGGGCACATTACGCTTCCACGTGAATTCTTTGCGGTTGGTCTCCACACGACATACTCAGTGGAAGACTCATAGAAAGCGGTGAGTGTGCAGAGCTGTGTTAAATGTGATTGAAATCTTTGTTTAGCGTTTTCTCTGTTTGGTTAATAGAAAGTCGGACGTGGGAGTTACAACGGAGGTTTTGAAGTAGGAATCACTACCTTCACGCACAAATCGAAAACCTCAGCGCATAAAACTCTTGAAGCGTTTTGGAACAATGCCAAAAATTCAAAAATGAACCGCAAGGAGGAGTGTCTTGTCATCACGTGTGAGCTGGCGCCATACCTCAGGCTAATCCAATGAGCTGACACAGGCACAGCCCTCGCCCATGTATTACTCTGTGCGGCTGCTATAAACCAACTGACTTAAATACAACAAATAAACGGTGGGTGTTTAAGTGAAGCTGTTTGTTATGCGAATGCAAATTTATTTGTTAAGTTTTTTCTGCTGGGGTTATGAAAGTGTTTGGCTGAGTAGATCGCATCTCAATTTGACCTTTCCAGGCTCTAAAGAAGGCAAATCCGCCGAAACGTCAGCTATTGTATTTTAATAAATTCTATAATAATAACCTCGTGTCTGCTTATTGAAGAGAAACATCGAATGTGTAAAATGTTTGGAAGTCTGCGACCACTGCACAATTTGTCGACAAACACTTTGTAATGTTAACTTTTTTTTTATTGGCCAAAGGAAAGACTCGCATGGTGTGGTGGTGAACACGTTAGGCCATGGAAAGGGTAATATCACGTTCGTCCCGTACCACGGACACCTGCGGTCCGGAATTTTGCAAATGTCTTAGCATCATTGTGGTTGAACCACTTTGTAGTTTCAAATTAGTTGCTGCTGAAAAGGCAATCTTGAGAACTTTGCGCCGATTTTTCCGTAGTGTCAGCTTAACCAGAGATTCATTCATGATTCTCTCACCGTCATCCATGAGCTATCGATATTGTTTCCATAGTAACCCTACAGACTAAACACTTGGTCTTCCCGGAAACATGTAACACACAATTATTCTTCCTCTAAAGTAGAACTCGTCTAGCTTCTCATTTTGATGGTCGAAAACGAAGTTCGTGGAATTAGTCTTGTTTACTTGTTTGAGGCTTTTCTCAGTGAACTTTATATAAACCCAGAAGAAAATAATGTTGTAAAAGCCTTTTCCTTGTGGTTATGGTTCTCCATTCCTAAGGCGCGTGTGATGCGCAGTGGTCGAAGGCGCCCTGCAATGCACATGGGATCGTTTCCTCCCCGCAAGGCCATCCAGCCCTCCATCCCTCCAGGGTCTCAAAATGGCTACCAGAGTTGTCTAGCAGGATAGCAGCACTGGCTCGATACATCGGCAGGCCATCGCGGGTCATTGTAAAAGTCAAATGTGCATTCAGTCACCTTCAAGCGATGTTTAATGAAGTCGAATGCATGGCCCGTCTCTCAGGGATTGATCAAGGTCGAGAGCTTTTTATCTTTTTGTGGTTCTCCAATCAATGTCTTTTCTTCATAGATCTAACCACATTTGTTTTTGACTAGTACTGTAGGATATATGCCTTAGCAAACGATGTAGTTTTTGTGCCAAATAGATTGTAGCTTTCATACACTTTTCCTTTGAAGCTTACAAAGTTCATTCTCGTTCTATAGTTCATTTCTTCTACCGGTAGCTAACAAGGCTTTTCAACATTGTTTTGTTGCTGCACAAGTTATGATCTACTCGTATGTGCGTTTAAAACTCAAGCAATAAATCCCTTATTAGTGTATGGTTCGCTGTAGATGTGGACGTGGTCATTGTGGCATGACGTAGTCGGCGATCCTGTCGACTTCCTGAGTCTTTCGTCGTTTGAATGGCCCAGTTCCCGAATGGTTTTCTGGTTTCTATCGGTCTGTTTGTCGCTTTCACCGTTTTCGTCTTTCTTTTTTACACAGTTTTTTTTTACACATTTTGTTGTATTTCTGTGCGAATTCAGATGGCAATAATCGTTCGGTTCTTACACATTTTTGAGTCACCGTCAGTGCCGGAGGTGACCTTACTGGAAAAAGCCGATCGTCCAACTATGAAAAATCTCATCAAAGGTCTCGATATATTAAATGAACCGTGAGTTTTTTGGATTTTTCACATCCATTAGTGACTGGAAATAAAACGAAATTATACAATACTAATGTGCTAAAGATTTTTTCCTCGTCTGAAATTACTTCGTTGTTCAAGTTACTCGTTTAAAATATTTTAATGATTTCCTTCAAAGAAAAGTCAGGAGTAGAGTGTTGGTGAATTAGAGGCAATGTCTAGCATTGAAAACGAAGTTTTTCGTGATTTCTGTTTTAAAGGTATCGCCCGCCCGGCCTCTGGGGTCGTTCCGGCCATCTGCAGACGGTTGCCTACGGCCTTCTGGGACATGCGTCGCTTCGGCGCACGTTCGATCGTCGAGCTTCCATCCATTGCAGTGACGGCAGCACCGTCCTGTTCGACATTTTCGAACCGATCAGTAGCCATGAGGTAACTGAACTTTAAAGGCTGCGGTGAAAAAATGATATCGATGTGCTAATGTAATACTAGAATGGTATACTGAATCAAACCCATCCCTAAGAGTGTTTGAATAAAAGGGAGTATTTCGCGAAACCAGTACTCGATCTTGAAAGTTTGCTTCATGTTATTTTTCGAATCTCCGAAGGAAATGTTCTTTTGTCAAATGATTCCGCGCATAGTCCAGTATATCTCGAAGGTGGTTGGGTCGAAGTTCATTTCGGTCGTGCCGGTTTTTCGCAGTAATGGCGATAATGCTTTTAAAATTGATACGGGAAGTGCGTGGTAAAACTGGAGAGAGAAAATTCAAATAATTTCCTGGAAACTGAGATGCGCGTTCAAAAGGGGAATTGGGTTTTTCTCTCATTTACTTCAACTTCTTTTGTGTAATTTCTCACTTACTCACACTACTATTAGAAACCTGTCAAATTCGAAAGTTGACCTACTTACGAGGCTGACGCAGGTGTGTGTTGTTCGTTCATCGTTCTTGTACTTTTGGAATATCATAGTTAAGCTAGTGCTTATGCGGCCAGGGTTACCGTATTGTTTGTAGAGAACATAAGAAATGAAGCAAGTAAAACAGAATAGCAGTTTTCCTGATATTCTACTGTATTTTCAGAGTGGACTGGACATCACTCTTGCTCTCACTCCGGGCATCGCCAACACAAGTGAAAGTAACTATGTCCGTACATGTGTGCACTACGCGCAAGAGCGAGGGTTAGTTCCAGCATGTAGAATGCTATGAGTTTGCATTTTTGAGTAGTTACAATTCAAAATTCTTCCTTCCAGTGATGGAGAAGCCATTGGAGTTGTTAGGGACGGCAAGTAGCAAATAATTAGAAATCGTATGTGTAAGTTAAATTGGGTGGCATTCTCTATTATAAACGGGGGAACACTGTGATTTCGTTGGTCTTAATAAGGAATTCGATGACAATAGTGATAAATGGATGTGAAGTGGACATTTATATATGCTTGGGTTACAACGAGTCCATTTTCGATGTTAGCTGTGTGAGCCATCCTCGACGATCGTCGGCGTCAAGGTTGTGAAAGTTTGCAGGACTCGATGGCTACTAAGCAACTGTACGACGCCGATCCTTCGTTTATTAGTCGGCGTTTCTCGTGCTGTACCAACTTAAAGGAAAGAATCATTAAAAAAAACCTAGAAGAGACTATAAAAACCGATGCGTTGCTAACCCATTGAATGGTTAGATAGTGTATCTTTATTGTTCTCGATTCATAGACAGCTGTCATCAAGATCTCGGTGCACATCAATCAGTTTCCAGTGAGTAGAATTATGTATACATTGGTGTTTAAATGCTAGAACTATACATTTTCATTTTTAACTCCATTTATTGAAATATAATTTTAACCAGCGATATATTAACGATCATTACCAAGAGTAGTATAGTACTGCATTTCTTCGTAGGTCTTGGACGCCTACTGTTAGGAAGATGGGTGTTATGGCGACAACTTTTTTGAGGTTGTGTTAAACAAGAAATTTCTTCCTTAGGTCTCAATAATAGTCATCATCTGAGGATGTTTTGTCGGCGATGTACGATTTACAAAGTATAGTAGTCTGGTCAAAGTTCACTAGCTCCCTCGAGCCATGTCGGAGTTATTGGAGTGAAGGTGGTCGTCGTCATGCAAATTTAGAGCTCTGAGTCATATCGGTTGCTTCTCTGTTGTAAGAGCGATACTGTAGAACCGCTTTTTGGAGCGGCTAACGGTAACCACTTTTTTTTCGCCTCCGGAAAATGAGGTGTTCATACTGTACATGTTCAAGAACACGCACAGCATTAGCTTACTATCATGTGAACCAGGCTAGAGTTTGTCTCGTGGAGCTTCGTCTTTAGTCAGCCACAAGGTGTGGTGCTTGTTGGCCTCGTGTCGATCACGGTGTTGGACGCCCAACCAAACCACAGTTTGCGGTAGTCCATCGAATTATGAGGTCGCTACTTATAGTGTTTTCTTCGAACATTACTTGCCACTTCTTTTTTATTTCTTCTCCGGAATGCTTGTCAACATTGTCGAAGCGTGCGAACCATTCAAAGAGTAACCATCCAAATAAATGAAATACGAGCTTTAAAGGCGTAGGAAACGAATATGAATACGAAAAGGAAATGTTAGGTGTTCAAAAAGGAACAGATGCACACATTAATTTGGTTTCGTGAAGGGAGGAATCCAAGAGGTCTCATGTCAGGAATATCTTGTCCTCTTATGTTATGTTGTGCTTGTTGTAAGTAACTAAGATAATAGGCTATGTTAAAAAGATTGTGTAGAAAACCACAACGGTGCTGAAATATACTCAAAACTCCGGACCGCAGGTGCATGCGGTGGGGAACGAACGCGCCATTGTCCTTTCCAGGGAGTAACGCGTTCACCACCACACCATGTGGGTCCTTCGTTTCGCCTGCCTCTCAGCTAATTCTATTGATCTTTTGCCACCAGCAATTGTGATTATAACTGTAACCTCAGCTTAACTGGGTTCACTGCCGATTTGGGCTCTCCCAGATCAATCCCGTTGACGGAGGGTGATTGCTGATGGTAAAAGATCGATGGAATTAGCTGAGAGACGGGCGAAACGAAGGACGCGCATGGGGTGGTGAACGCGTTACTCTCCACAATGGACAATAGCACGTTCGTTCACCACCGCAGACACCTGTGGTCCGGAGTTTTGCAAATATTTCAACATCATTGTGGTGACGTTTCACATAATACCCTGCCATGAAAAAACAGCCGTAAGTAAAAAGTGGCTATACTGTGTAGATATTTTGCAGAACATTGTCGATTTAGCTATCGATGTGCAGTCCTCAATCATCTGGGTGCATTATCCGCTGTGAAGCTCAGTGGGAACCGAATCTTTTCTTATGGTGGGTAGTCATAATACGTTTTAAGCCACTTTCTACCATCTGGTTTCATGAAAATTCTTCGAGTACTGTTGAAGCGTTTACTATGTTTCTACTTTTTTTCTTGAGAAAATATTTGAAATTCAATTTCTACGGCGCATGAGAACGAGGGTTTTTTTCGTTTTTATCAAGTATATTTTTTTTATATGGCTATGGTAATGTTCCGTACAGATTCTATCATGTAGGTATCTGTAATCCCACCAGTCGTTGAATAACTTGAGAGGACATCAGTAAGTTTTCCATGAGTTGTATCGTGTGTAACAACTATTATTCAACGAACAGCACTTGTCTGAGGGACACCAATAGCACCATATTTTTGGTCCGAACCTCTTTATTTTTGTTGTTCTGGTAATAACATAGCCAAGTTGCTGCTGAGCTCCTCCATAGTATAAGTGTGCGCTTGGTTAGGGATTGAAGTAGAAATGTCATGCATATTGGCCTAAATTGCCCCGTCATAAGGTGTTCCCTGTTATACATCTCAGTCCGACACTGGCAGAACCTACCTTCACTTCCGGTCATGATGGTGGTAAACCATGGTTCCGTGTGATAGCAAATTTCACATGGAAGTGCATATGAATTTGCGACAAACTGTATGTATTTTATAACACACGGCGAGATTGTCTTCAATTTATGATAGTAGCTGCATCACAATTCGGTCATTTAGGAAGTACTGAGGAATTGAGAGCGATGATGAATCAGCTGTTTAACGACTATCCTCACTCGTATTTTATTAACATCGGATTTTCGATGGGTGGCAATATCACGACACGATTTCTTATCGAAGCATCCAACAAGCAAAAGTGGGTATCGTTGTGATGTGATAAATCCGTTGCTGAAATGACAGTGACTTTTGAGGCATTTTGCTCGATTACCAGAGGCGTCAGTAAGCAAACAGCGAATTTTCCCCTTGTGTATTACAAATTCTTTCCGAATTTCTTTTGATCCATACGGCTGCGATGGCCAGAATGCTCGCACAAATTTCCATTTTCAGAAGACGAATTCTGATGGGCTTGAGTGTGTGTCAAGGGTATTCGGCGTCGATTTCAGCGCCAATGTATCATGACTGGGAGAACGGACGTCGAATCTATAACTATTTCATAACGGAAAATATGAAACGTCTTCTACGTAGGAACTACGACCAGGCCGTTGCACCACACGTCGCCAAAGGGCTCATTGATGAACAGGTGCTAAATGTAGACACTATCAGTGTAACGAATTGTGACGGTGGATGTCATAGGTTATTAAGTACCCGACGATTTTAAGAGCTCGGATTAGAATGTTTTCTTCAAATAGATGTTCAAGTCATTTTCTTCGTATTTTTGTTGAGCAAACGCGAGGTGTTACTATTCTTTGTTCACGATTAAGCTGACGTTTCGGCGGATTTCGCCTTCTTCAGAGCCGCTTTCTATGAGGTTTCCACTAAGTATGTCACGTAGAGACCAACCGCACAGAAATCACGTGGAAGTATAATGCATAATACAGTATAATACATTATACTTCCACGTGATTTCTGTGCGGTTGGTCTCTACGTGACATACTTAGTGGAAACCTCATAGAAAGCGGCTCTGAAGAAGGCGAAATCCGCCGAAACGTCAGCTTAATCGTGAACAAAGAATAGTAACACCTCGCGTTTGCTCAACAAAAATACGAAGAAAATCACTTGATCAATGCCGAGGATAATAGAAAGTCGGTCGTGGCAGATGTTCAAGTCGTTTTTAGAATCAATCTAAAGAAAACTACCTAAAAAATTCTCAAGACCGGCTTTCTGTTAACGTCGGCATTGATTCATAATTCGATGTTTTTCTTCAATAAGCAGACTCGAGGTTGTTATTATAGAATTTATTGGGATGCAATAGCTGACGTCTCAGCGGTTTCGCCTTCTTCAGGGCCGTTTATTCGTTGTAAGTATCTCGCCAATGTATTACTCTGTGCGGCTGCTATCCACCAACTAACTGAAATACTTACAACGAATAAACGGCTCTGAAGAAGGCGAAACCGCCGAAACGTCGGCTATTGTATCCTAGTAAACTCTATAATAATAACCTTGTGTCTGCTTATTGAAGAAAAACATCGAATTATCTAAAAAAATATTCTTAAGAAATGATCCCCATAACGACATCTCAGTGTGCTGCGATGGAGAGTTGTGCATTTGATTCGTTGATCAAGTACAAAATTTATGTACATCAAGTGCTATTACTTTTTACGTACTTCCAATTCCTTTCAAATTCAGCGTCTTTGGTCGACGACATCGATCGTGGCGTTTGACGAGAACTACAATCGTCGAGTAGCTGGTTTTTCAACCGTGGAAGCGTTCTATGAATGGTGTGACTGTCTTCCACATCTACCGAAACTCTGCGTGCCAATGATATTTCTGAATGCCGAAGACGATCCTATAATTCCGAGATCACTGTGGAAACCTGTGAAGGTAATTCCATTGAAACTGCAGCAGTCCAGTCTAAATTGCATTACATAACTAACTCGTTTTTTTTGCCTTATCAGGGCTCAGAATACACAAAAGGTTGTTATCTAACCGTTACCTTGTCGAGAACGCCATCATCTTGGTTAGCATATTAACGACAGCGGTTTACAGTGTTCAGATGTAATTCCATGCCCCTGTGAAGAAATGCAGTAGGTAATAAAACGCGGAGAACATATATTTGTATAAAAACATGAAATGAGTGCAATATTTGATTAAATGGGAACATCCATAGGGACACTGGTCCGCGACATCAGAATCTCCTGTACGTGAAGGTACAGAAGAATCGTCCATCCTACACAGAAAAAGCACTTATTGTTGTCGTGTTTCAGATCTCTAATATATCATGGTTGTTATTTCCTTCATTGCTTTTGTATTATCTTCTGGGTAATGCGTTAGAATAAGGCGAAGCAGTAAAGAATAATAAGAATTGGAATACGGCGCGTGTAGCGCAGTAGTCAGAGGCGCGCTGCAATACACATGGCATCTATCTCCTCGCCTCAGGCTCACTAAGCCTTCCATCCTTTCGGGATCGGCAAATTAGTACCAAACTTGTCTGGGAGGATAACAACACTAGTTCGATACTTCAATAGGCACCGCGGAGTTATTGTAAAGGCCAGATATGCATTCAGTCACCTCTAACGATGTGAAGTAGAATGCATGGCGCATACCTCACGGATTGATCAACATCGGGAGCTGTATCTTTTTATCCTTTAAATTAGAATAGTTGATAATCGTTGTACTTCACAATAGACATTTGATAGATACTATTTTCTACAATATCTTTGCACTATGTTACACACTACATTGAATTATTAACAGTTTGTACTGATTTTATACTCTTAACTCCACAAGGACGTTGTCGACCGTCAAAGAATAGCCATCAGACCTTCTTTCCGAGTATTTTTAAGCTACGAGTTGAAAAGTCTCTTGCTAATGTCTTTCAGTGACGTACAAAACTGTGACGATTATTCGACTTAGTGTAGAGCGTAGAAGACAAGCACTACAGCACAACTTTATGAGGAACTTTGTGTCGTAAACAGTTTGTTCATCTTAAAAAGTGTTTATTACTCATTATTAATCCATTTTCAGGAATTCGCTTCCCGTTTCGAAGATGTGGCGTTCATATTGACGAGACATGGAGGTCACTTGGGATTCCTAGAAGGCGGTTCCTTTGCGCCAAACTCGATTACCTGGCTCGATCGGTTTATCGTTGATATGGCGGACAAAGCCGTTATGCTCTACACTTCATAGCTTGTTCAGGCTTATTTCACAAACTATATAGCAGTTGGCATTGGTAGAATCATTTCCTGAGAAGCGAATGCTTACTGTAATCCAACTTCTAATCTTAGTTCTGCAACTCATCGTTTGGAATTTTATCTCGATGTGTTTATGTTTCTCGTTAATCTTAATAAGAATTACGAAGTAGAAATCTTCATCTTTAGAGCATTCTAGTGGTATGGCAATCTTCTTAGTACTAATAGTACTAGGTTTTTTTCAGAATATTCTTGCGTTTATACACAGCAGCTGTCGCTACCATTCCATTGTCTTACTGTGAAATATATAGCGCATGTAGTTTCTTGTACTTGGCATTTTTTTCATTTATACCATGACCTTGTTCTCTTTACTTTTTTCACGTACAGATATCACAGGTCAGAATTGCGTGTTCGGCATCAGACAAGTGAAATTCGGAGCATCCGACACTCCGACTCTCGCCATATATGCTTCGTTACTGACATAGGTTCACCATAACCGAGTTAGTGCAGTCAATCGCTTCTGGCACCTAGGAGTTATTGTTACTACAGCTTTTCTCTTTGTTGTCTCTTTGGCGTAATATACGTCTCATTTTGCTATAATGTACTACTCTTTTCGTTTTCGTTACTGATACGCATGTGGTCCGGTCGTATGTCATATCTATTTATTCGTGACCATAGAGAGGAATAAATCCAAATTTTGAAAGACTTCGTGATTATTTCTATTTTTCGGACTCAACAACCAAAGCTGTCTAAAGCCATGTTCGGAACGTTACAAAAGTACTGTAGTACTGTCGAGATGATGCACAGTATTGCCTGAACGATGAATCTAGTGGAATTTACACGATTAGCACTGTTGCACCTTCTGATACTATCAGAGTTCTGCTCAATATTAACACATTCGCAACGAAGCCAGTTCCTCGACAGGAAACGATAATTTCTCGATCGCCGAAGTACTTCAGACGTTCAGGACTTCAGAGGTATCTAGGCGAGACTGCTCCGTCGCATTAACATTATTTTCACACAGAATCTTTCCAGACTTAAATGTGTTTAGAATGGGTACTTAAGAAGTTTTATAATGGAATTCTGAAATTTTGAAATCGTTCCTTAAGTTAGAGTTCGGATTAAATCAAAGTGAAATCAAAATTACGAAAATCTCAATGGAAGAGCGGTAGTTGTAGACACAAATGTTACATTGAGGAAATACGGTCTTCTGCTGTGAAGGAAATTTCACTAGTTCATTTACTTTCGTGTGCTATGAACTCTGAAGCAAGAAAGCGTGGAACGCCGGTGTCCATATCACCTTAGCAAACCCTGCTGGGGAGAGAGATTCCCCTGCTGCACATCGCAGTCCGACACCCAAGAGACACCTCCCACCCATGATGATACGCTAAAACATTGGAAGGGTAATTGTATAAACAGACGACAAATACAATTAACATCTTTACTCCTTAGCTCTGAACATGACATACACATCATAGATGTGAAGGCGCATAAATACTTCATTACATATAAAAATCACAGACTAACCACTATTTTGTACTAAGTTAAATAAAATACGTACAAAAAGAAAATCGAGAACAATTGCAAGGACTCTGGCGGTGGCGAAGAACATTTAAATGCATGTGAGCGTATGCGTTTGGTTTACATCGTTATGAAAAAATCAACATTCTTAGTGAAGACCGTAGAAAATATCTGCTGTGATACTGACGGATTCATGTCGTAGATCATTGACGTGTAAATGGACTTTTCATAGTTCTCAAACCCGAACATCGACTGTGATGTGTGCTGTCACGATGGTGTTCATCTGATTCAAGCAAGATCAAACCTTCATGCATACAACCACAACGTTGCTGAGATATTTGCAAAACTCTGGACCGCAAGTGTCTACTGCGGGGAACGAACGATCTATTACCCTTTCCGGTGACAAACGTGTTCACCACCACACCATGTGGGTCTTTCGTTTCGTCTGTCAGCTAGTTCTATCGATCACTCCCATCAGCAATCACCCGTCAATGGGATTGAGCTGGGGAGTCCACATCAGCATTGAACCCAGTTAAGCTGAGGCTATAGTTGAAATCACAATGTTTTACCTTCTATTTTCTGCCTACTACAATTTTCACGGCAGGGTATTAAGCGAAATACAACCACAACGTTGCTGAGATATTTGCAAAACTCTAGACCGCAAGTGTCTACGGTGGGGAACGAACACGCTATTGTCCTTTCCGCACAGTAACACATTTACCACCACACCATGCGGATCCATCGTCTTGTCTGTGTCTCAGCTAGTTCGTTAATTATGTATACGTTAATCTCTTTAAGACATGTAGCAGCTTTGGTTAAGGTAACATCAGAGCGACACTAGATTCACTAAATGAATCCGTCAGTATGCCAACTAAAGAAAGTATCGAACTACTAAGTAGTATGTTGACGTCTTGTCTTCAAAACTTTAGCCTCTTGACTTCGGCTTACGTGTGAAATTAATTTTCGACTGACTTAAAGGCTTAAAGGCTAACAAAATCCCTACACTATGATTCATGGATTCATTTATGATTATACGACACTGTGAAGACTGATAAGCGTAGACTTCAGTAGAATTCCAGCAGTTTATCGACGTCAAACTGATTTATGAAAAAGTCACTTGGTGGACAAAACCCTCGCCCACAATAATGGCTTTCGTCATGGATTGTACCCACTTTAGATTTATCAGTATACCACAATATATTCAATAAAATATCCATCTAAATACCATAAGAGCATTTAGGCGTCAATAATACGCAGCGACTGCGCACTATACACTGGTGTGTGCTACCTTACCACTTAACTAGTTATCTTAATTGTTTTAGTTCATTTCAAGCAGGAGATAGCGCTTGTAATGAGCTCGTTGAGGGTTCACCGAAACTACTCACTATCAGTACTTGGGTCTTAAAAGCCCAGGATCCCGAGTATACCGCTAAAAGCAGCAGTGGTGGCTAGAATATAGTCACCGATTATCCAGTAACTGAGAGCTAAATACAGGCAGAAGGCCAATATTCACTCCTCACATTGACGCCTTCGATAATTACTTAAAATATTTCCTATAGCAAACAGTCATCAATTACTGTCGACAAAAAGCCAAAAAGTTATTAGTAGTCGAAGGTTACATTACACCCTCTTCCTCTTTTACTCGATCCTCGCCATAGGAGAACAGCTCGGTCAACCTCCTCGCTCGCTCCTCGTCAGCTATTCTGTCCCGTTCCCGCTCCTCGGCTAGCCTTCGCTGTCGCTCCAACTCCATTTGGCGCTCCTTCTCTAGAAGTGCCGCCTCCCTGGCCAGTCGTGCCTCCTCGTCCTTTTTCCGCTTCTCCTCACGCATCTTCACTCGAGTTACGATTGCGGCTATCAAAGCAGCTCCCTTGCCGCTGCCGTCACCGGTTTGAACGATTTTGAACTAAATACAGAGAACAAGTTGAAAAACTATTTTAAACTTCATATAAAAGAAAACTGGCGTTTCATTCCACTTTTTAAGCCTCACTTGGTTCTTTTCAAAAAATTTAACGCAAAACTTGAGAGCGACGAACGTCTCTCCTCCCCCACTGAATTTTTATCAGATTTGTCAAAAAGCAACAGAGGTAATGTCTGCATACTTCAAGTCCTGGATCGATGAGTTCCCTGATTTTTTCCGTGACCCAGTGGTTGAAAAACGGATGATACTTGTAGGTACTGCCATCGATAGCGACGACCATTTTCGGGCGACGTACTCGATTGAGAACGCAGGTGATAGCTGTTAAATGCGAAATGAATTCGAAACATTACTCAGAAATCAACAATTATACTTAATTATACTTGTTCTAATTAAAGTAAGCAGTTTTGCTGGTCTTTGTTTTGTTCTGTTTTCTCCCTTTTCTTTCCCCTAGCTGATATTCAGTGAAGATCAGAACCGTGTTTGCTCTTCTCACTGTACTTTTTAAGCATATTCTTTTGACATTTAACTTCCTTTACATTTACGTTTGCTAATGCCTCTGTAGCACATCAGATGCCCAAATTTGATTGCTTTCATGCCATTCTCCGCCAAATCAATAAACTCGACAGAGTAGTTTTACAGCCAAGTTATGTTGACTATACTCATGACTACTCAGAAGGCACCAACACTTTACCCGAATAAAGGTTTTTATCCCAACCTTGTGTCAGCTTAATTATACAGGAAATTAGTGACTGGTCCCACTGATTATAAAGAATAGGAATCGACGACACCTTGAAAACAAATTCCTGGTGCACCTTCAACGTTCATTGAGAAACTTTTTCCCAGCGTTCCACATTCATTTTAAGGCATCGCTAAAGGCTGCTTTGTGGTTCAGTAGAACGTCAACGTGAGTTAAGTAAAATTCGACTTCGAGTTCGAGTTCAACATAGAATAAATCTTATTATCCCGTTTGCTCAATTTTGTATGCTTCTTCTCCTCTCATAGCTTACAAGAGCTATGAATTCACCACAAAGAAGGAAAAGATAAATAAAGGATGGAAACTCGCACTGTACTCACACTCAAAACAGTTCCACTTAGGCTATATCAACTGATGTTAGTATACGAACGCTATGTCATTTGAACGGTCTCTCTGAATCATAACAATGACCTTCCATTCGATATCAGCTATGCTCTGTACAAGTTCATGAAGATATTATTCCAGCAGTTGCAAACAATAGATGATTTTCCACCTACGACGCAGATGCGGTAAACGACATGGCCGTTCGAACAGCAGGCCTGACGGTATGACTTTAAGAAAGCCATATAGGACCGATGAAAATATGGTCTTTAGCTCTGACCTTTTTGACAAGGGAAAGACATACTACCGCGCAGAAAGGAATGACATTTTGACATCATCTGTTGGTGAAACTCTTGAACTACTACACGTAGCGCATTAAACCAAGAGTAAATAAAGAATAAAACGATAAAGCGCTCGGCGTTGATCAATTATTGAGGGATGCGCCATGCATTCGACCTCATTAACCATCGTTGGAGGTGACTGAATGCATATATGGCCTTTACAATGACAAGCGGTGGCCTACCGATGTATCGAGCCAATGCTGCTGCCCTCCCAGACAAGTCTGGTACTAATCTTCCACTCCTAGAGGGATGGAAGGCATGGTGTGCCTTTAACGCATGGATCGATCCTATGTGTATTCCAGGGCGCCTCCGACCACTGGGCTACACGCGCCTTTCAACCAAGAATATATGGAGAAATATACAGCCTTTCTACCTACGGTTATGTTTCCAAAGCGGTTCTTGGTTTCATACAGCATATCGAAGGAAGCCATATTTGACTATGAGCAACAAGAATGAAAGGAGAAGTAGAGACCGATTACCGAACATGAACATCCTTCACGTACGCATGAAATTCATTCCAGAACCTCCGCCAAAAACCAAAAAATTGGGATTTGCTGATCGCTTGAAGCCATGGAAGGAAAGGAACACAGGAAGGAAGACAAGGAACACGTGCTGAGATTAGATAGCAAGGATACAAGACAATATATTGGATGACCATGTGCATCACCGGTGACATGCACTCGTCTGAAAGCGTAGAACATACGGACGACCGACTGTGTGTGTTCACCAGCCTAGAAGGTACACCAGTCATAGGATCAATGGATAGCGATACCCTTCCTTCGCCGCTACCTGAAACACCGAGTCGCGCCGAACTTCATCAAACGAAAACGACTACACGATGTATGCGGCCTACCAAGGGACAGCCAACTAGTACTGAACACCGAAACGCGACTACTACGCGCCTCTCTTCGATGCAAGCAGAACATCATGTACGCGTAATTGAAGAAGTGCAAGTTGAAGGAATCTTATTGTGTTCAGTATTCGGAGGAATCCATTTGGAACAGAATAGTGGGTGGGTCAATTTTGATTTGTGATTCTATTAGGTCGAATGCTAAAGTAACCTTAAGCAGAAAGTTTCAAAATTTACTAGATCATTCGCAAAAACCAGTTTCAATTAAACAAAACAAAATCGTTTACGGAAGCGCTAGCACTAAAAATGTGGTCGATAACGTGCCTGAAATGTCAAGGGTCACCGTGTAATGAGGCATAACTCTCCCTGATGACCCGCGCTCGCTATTAGAATTGGGTCCAAGTTTCTCACCAGCGCAACCCATTTCTAAAGAAACCTTGCATAGGATCGCGTGCAGCCAGCACGAGCTACAAGATCGACTCCGAAGCAACGCTAGAATTGAGACACAAAATAGAAAGGAACAACGAGCAGCAGGGGCACTACCACCACCTCCATTTCCTCGGTTATTCTTTAGACAGGAAGACCCAAATGACGAAGTCGATATAAAATTTCGTATTTTTTCGAGCGAAACTCTTAAAGTCCTTAACCACTACCGCGCGAAAAGGTTTAGTTCGAACCTTACAGTTACGAAAAAATCTGGTATGCGACAGGTTCGAGAGCTAATAAAATCAAAAACTATTAGGCTATCAGTTAGTGATAAGGGTGGAGGGTTTGTAGTAATTCCTCGCCATTTAGATGTCGATATAACAGAAAAACATCTCGAAGACGCATCTCTTTATCGCGCATCTACTGAAAAGGAATTCAGAAGTTAAAATCGAAAACTGAACAACGAATGGGTCAAAACCGCAAGCGCAGCAGGTTTAAAACCAGCAGACATTTCGCATCTTAACATCGAGGTGCTGACATGTCCCGTCCTGTACTTACTTATTAAGACCCATAAGTTAATATGCGCTGATGATCTGGCGTCTACCGACCACTCCACTATCAAAGTGAGACCATCAGTTGTGTAGACGGGCCTACGGATAGAATTGCTTGGTTTATATACCTAATCCTCAACCAGTTGCTTAGGCACATACCAGCCCATCTCACGAACATCCAACTGTTCCTAGACCGTCTGCGTAACGCACGTCCCAAAAGCGCGTACGTTATGGAGTCGTTCGACGTTACCGCCCTTTACACTAACGTGTCGAACGACTCCGCAGTGCAAGCCATCAGCGAGCTTCTTGTGCAACACGAAGGAGCAATTAACATGTATTGCTTTTCGATTCAGCAGCTTATGGTCCTCCTGAAGGTCTGTTTAAACTGCTCGATCTTCAGATGGTCCGGGAAATATTACGCGCAAATTAGACGGTTGGCAATGGGACAACTACTGGCACCAACTATTGCCGTTGCCTTTATGTCTAAAGTGGAAGCACCAGCAATCGATCTCACGCCATTACTCTACTGTAGGTATATAGATGATTGTTTTGTCATCTGCTCCACACAAGAAGAGATGGACAAATGCTTTAAGTTATTGAATGAACAGTCAGAGTACATAAAATTCACCCGTGAGAAACCGAAAGAAAACTGGCTTCCATTTCTAAACCTTCAAATTAACCTATCCGAGAACGGCTACAACACAAAATGGTATCGAAAGCCAAGCAGTGAGAATATAGTGGTTCATTACCGCTCCTCTCACCCCTCACACACTAAAAGAGCGTTTATAAGAAATATGTTTCGAACCGCCGCCAGCGTGTGCACAGGTAGAGAGCAGAGGGAAGAATCCTCGAAACTGGCGCGGCAAATAGCCATTTCAAATGGTTACGAAACTGTAGCTTCTCAGGATAGGCATCGAGGAAATCCCACGCCCCAGAGCGATAATTCTAGCGAAAACAAGGCTCCGTTTCTGTTGCCCTTTATTTCAAACGAAATAAGTGCAGCTATAAAACGCTGCTTAATAAGGGCCGGTCTAGAGAATTCCGTAAGAGTGATAGAAATACCACCGGACACTCTAAGACGCCAGCTAGTTCGCAACCGCCTGTACGACCGTCTATGTACAACAAAAAACTGCATAATTTGCCCAAATGGTAGAGACGGTGATTGCATGAGTTCGGGTACAGTCTATCTGATCTCTTGTAAAGCGTGCGGGGACGAATATGTTGGCGAAACGGGTAGACCGCTCTGCGTCCGCATAAAAGAACACCTAGTCGGTAAATCTAAACTAAAACAAAATACTCCACTAGGCGCGCATAGGATGCAAGAACACAACGGAGAAGATTTTGAGGTAGGAGTCACTATCCTTACGCAGGAATCGAAAACATCAGCGCGNAAGAAATATGTTTCGAACCGCCGCCAGCGTGTGCACAGGTAGAGAGCAGAGGGAAGAATCCTCGAAACTGGCGCGGCAAATAGCCATTTCAAATGGTTACGAAACTGTAGCTTCTCAGGATAGGCATCGAGGAAATCCCACGCCCCAGAGCGATAATTCTAGCGAAAACAAGGCTCCGTTTCTGTTGCCCTTTATTTCAAACGAAATAAGTGCAGCTATAAAACGCTGCTTAATAAGGGCCGGTCTAGAGAATTCCGTAAGAGTGATAGAAATACCACCGGACACTCTAAGACGCCAGCTAGTTCGCAACCGCCTGTACGACCGTCTATGTACAACAAAAAACTGCATAATTTGCCCAAATGGTAGAGACGGTGATTGCATGAGTTCGGGTACAGTCTATCTAATCTCTTGTAAAGCGTGCGGGCACGAATATGTTGGCGAAACGGGTAGACCGCTCTGCGTCCGCATGAAAGAACACATAGTCGGTAAATCTGAATTGAAACCAAACGCTCTCATAGACACGGATATGATACAGGAACACAACGGAGAAGATTTTGAGGTAGGAGTCACTATCCTTACGCAGGAATCGAAAACATCAGCGCGTAAAACTCTTGAAGCGTTTTGGATCAATGCCAAAAATTCAAAAATGAACCGCAAGGAGGAGTGTCTTGTCATCACGCGTGACCTGGCGCCATACCTCAGGCTGATCCAATGACCTGACACAGACACAGTCATCGCCCATGTATTGCTCTGTGCGGCGGCTATACATCAACTAACTTAAATACAACAAATAAATTAAGCTATTAAGTATTAAGTAGCTATTTAAATGAAGCTGTTTCTTATGCGAATGCAAATCGATTTGTCAAGTTTTATCTGCTAGGGTTATGAAAGTGTTTGGCTGAGTAGATCACATCTCAATTTGACCTTTCCCGGCTCTGAAGAAGGCGAAACCACCGAAACGTCAGCTATTGTATTCTAATAAATTCTATATTAACAACCTCGTGTCTGCTTATTGAAGAAAAACATTGAATGATCAATGGATAATTCTCTACCACAGACTACCCGACATAACTGTGGGCCATTAAGACAGTGTGGGCACTTCAATGGTCTATCAACTCTTCGCGACAAGGAGGTTGTCTCTGGTTGTTGAATTGCAGTCTACAGCATGGTTTGCCCTCTTAGTAAGGTCTGAAGCCGTTCAAAATTTCTATCGGAAGCGAAGCAAAAGTCTGCCCAATTACAGATAACGTCCGGAAGTTTTAACGGAAATCTTTAATACTTGAAATCTACATGCAAACATTTAAAGCAATATATTGGCATTTTCCTGCAGTTTTCTGCATAGATTTCTTACTTCTTTCAGATGTCGATCTAAAAACCAAAAAACTGGGAACAATCATGCATGATTTTTTTTGATCAAGATGGCAATTTTGGTTTCAAAAATGATGCCTATCTACAATATTCCAAACAGCAATGTGATGGATGTGGATGGCCGTTAGAGATTGGTTAGCGTTTTCCGATGGACTGGCATTCAAATGTGAACCGACATATCGACAACGTTGAGAGTTATTCGCAGTGTCGAGACATTGCGAGGAAACTTCTCAAAGGACCAACCGAAACATTCACCATCAAACTCGACTGCATCATCGAAATCTTCAAGGAATATCCTGTTTCCATGTCCAAGTGGAAAATTTTTCTAAAACGGAAGAAAAACATCGCTGACGAAGTTGCATACCCAAACAAGGAATGGAAAAGGACACTGGAAAACGAGAAGGCGCTTGGCGTTGATCAATCCTTGACGGACGCACCGTGCATTTGACTTCATTAAACGTCGTAAAGATAATTGAATGGATATCTGGCCTTTACGATGATTTTCGATGGCCTATATGTATCAAACCACCATTTTTGTTTCTCAGATAAGACCGGCACCAACTTGCAGACCTTGGATAGACGGAGCGCTTGGTGAGCCCGGAACTTGGGATCGAAAAATCGACCTGTATGTATGGCAGGACACCAATCATACTTCTAGAAAGGAACTATAAAGATGGAGAACAGCTCCGATTAGGAACACCACGAGTAAAGCACATAGAGGATGTGAGGAAATGCGTTTTGACTGCAAAATGCCGACGTAGCTACAGTTGTTGGGTGAATTTGGACTCAATACTTGTGGCCACTACCATGTACATATACTCAAGCAGAACCACATAGATATTTAAGAAAATTTTTTTCCGTAGTTCGATGAATTTTTCCGAAACACCAGCCGAAAATAAATAAATATCATTATCAACCTCGTGTAAGCTCATCAAAGAAAGAATACATATTTAAGGAAATGTTGTTTACAAATATATCAAACAACTCTGACCAATATTGATCGAGATTTCAGACTCAATCAGATTTTCGAAATCAACTTCGAAAAATGTGGACGAAGAAGAATAAAAAACAATATTTCATTAAAACTAGCTTAATGCTTGCTACCTGCTGCACTAAGATATGCACTTCGTCGCGACACCACCAGACAGACCTCTCGAAATAGTAGCATATCGGAAAAGGTGTAGTCGTCAACACCTAACTCGTCCATGATTTGCCTAGTGTTCGCATATGATCCGCAATCGTCACTAAAGCAATCATTGCACTGAAATCATCACACTAAGTAGGTAATCTTCTAAAAGTACCGAACTGACCATTCATAAAACTCTCGATTCAGAGCGTTCTCTCTACTAAATTACCACAACGTTAAGGCAATTTTGTCAGTTTTCGGTTACCATCGCGCGTTACCGTCCAAATCACACTGAGGGGATTTCGAATCATTCACTCAGCGTTGATCAATACCTGAGAGATGCGCCATGCATTCGACTGCATTAGGCATCGTTGGAGGTGATTGAATGCATATCTGGCCTTTATATAATGAATCGTGATGGCCTACCGATGTACCAAGCCAGTGCTGCTATCCTCCCAGATAAGCGTAATACCACAACTTGCCGACCCCGGAGGGATGGAAGGCTTGGTGGGCCATGGGCGCGGGGATCGATTCCACGTGTGTGTCTCAAACTGAAGCGTACAGTTTCTCGAGTTGATCAACCTCTGAGAAATACACTGACTGTGGGACTCTACCAATAAAATCCGTGTTTTTACCTTCTTAGATAATTCTGGTTCCGATTTTCAGACCCCGAAGGAATTAATGATGGTTTGAGTGGTTTAGAGATAGAACAAAAGACACCTGATATTACTGTATAAGATACTGCTTGCAATACCCATAGAAGTACGACGGAAGATTAACTTTGACTATAATTCAAAGCCAAAACCAAGGCTTGAAAATCAGGCAAAGCTTGACTACAGATGGATGCCACTCACTGTAAAATTTCGGAGATGTACTTCGTCGGGAACGAGCCGATCGTGTACAACATCTGTGAGCCATTTCCGCCGAACAACACCTGCAAACGAGTAGAAGTGGGTCAATATCAGGTGCTCTATGGTTGATCGATGATGCTCACCTTATGTGTGCAAAGTTTCTCTAGCACTAGTCGCACGATCTCTCCCATGCACATACCGGCCACAAGTTTATCGAGACTGATAAAGGGTTTTTATTTACAAATATACACCACTGACAACAAATAAGTTTAAGAAACAAAGTTTTTCATTTAATAAAAGTAATTTGGTACTTTTTGATAAGCAGACATGGGGCCATTACCATACATTATTATACAGTATGTATTTAGAATAGCTTACGTTTCAGCGAATTTCGTCACCTTCAAAGGCTGGAAGGATCATCTCAACTGCAACTTAATCGGCCAAATACCTCCGTAATCTTAAAAGAAACACCATGATACCTAATTGCAACCGCACTGAATGCAAAACTGCTTCGTCACCCGGTTACAGCTCTTTGTTAGTCTTCCAATGAGTGTTCAGCGTGGAGAACAACCGTACAGAGCTCATACGGATGAGTTTATATGACTGACTATGTACAATGAAAACTGCACAATTTGCGCTAGTGGAAAAGATGGTGATTGCATGAATTCGGGTACGGCGTATCTCTTCTGATCTCTTCTAAAGCGTGCGGGGACGAATGTATCGGCGAATAGCTGGCCGGTAAGCGTAAAGCTAAACAAAATACTCCACTACACGCGCGAAGGATACAGACATATAACGGGGAAGATTTTGAAGTAGAAGCATAATCCTCGCACAGGAATCTAAAACTTCTGCGTGTAAAACCCTTCAGGTATTATAGACAAATTCCAAGAACCCAAAGAAAACCGCAAGTTAGGATGCCTCATTATATGCCAGACCTCATACAATATCCCACAATTATATTTTAATCCGAAAGTGGCTCATCACTCATCCACATGAACTCTGTACGGTTGGTTTCAGCATCGAATGCTCAGTGGAAGATTTATGGAGAGCGGTCAGAGTGTGAAAAAGCTGTTTTATATCCAATGTGATGGCAAATGGGTATCGTGCGTTTTCTGTTGAGATTACGAAGGTATTAGGCTGATTAGGTTGCGGTTAAGATGACCTTTCCAGACTGAAGAAGACGAAATCCGCTGAAAAGTCAGTTATTGTGGACAGTATTATCTAATAACAACCCCGTGGCATATCAAAAAAGTAGCGAACTGTTTAACAATGTCACGGTTAACAGAAAACCGCTCTTTCGAATCAAGAAATATCCTTAATGTGAAGTGTAAATTAATTTAATGACTCTGCACTGTAACTATGTTGTGATCATTAAAGTGGCATTTGTTAGAGGGATAGATGTAGTTCAAAGCAAGCTTAAGCTTGCCTTGCGACGAAAGTTCATTAAAAGGATACATTTCCCCTCGCTAGCGTTCGTAATCTACGTACACATCTTCCGTGGATACACAGACATATCAGTGTATGTGCGCGTAGGTGTATTTGCGCGCGTTGGGAATGTATCCTGCAAGACAGTTTGCTCAGAAGTTTGTAGTCAAGTGTTTGGAAGGTGGCGCAATGCCTCCAAGAAATAACCACCATTTCTACTCCGTTACAACCCAAGTATCTACTTGTTGAAACGTCAAATCCAATGTCATGACAAAGCACGGTGAGTGCACGGTGAGAAATTTTCGCTAAAGCAACAAAAATAAAAAGCGCGTCGTAGAAAAGAGGCGATACATTCCGTGTTAATCAAGGAACCGGAGAAGCGTTGCGCTCAACAACGACAAATGAGACAAATAGAGCTTTTAAAGACGTCGGGTTGAGCAACTCAGTGGTTAGGAGAGCGGTGCGTTACACAGCCGCCATTAATTTCAGATGTTTAGCTTGTATCAAATGTCTTCTCGTTGATCATCGACTGGCTAGGGAGGACGCCAGTAAACTTTCCACTTTTCTCTGTCACGTGCTAAAATAGCACAGTGAGATCTCCTCGCTCTATGAACTCTTTTAGAATGGTATCTTTCTTCCAGGGTTTTTGTCCTTCTCTAATTTGTGTGACGCGCACTACTCCTAGCATCGTCCCTTTGACTGTGCGTTTTACAATGCAAAGTGATCTTTTATCCTGCTTGCGTATCGAACAGGTTTCTCAGCAAACCTTAAAACAGGAAGAATCGTGGAGCCGAAAAGGTGGACATGGAAGCGAGTTCATTGTTCTGCTCACTACATCTTGAATGCCCTTGAAAGCTTTCCAAGCCACTCGCTTCGTCGTACTCAACTCTATAGCTCGTTCCTCTTGACTAGTGGTATCGCCATGCCGCATCTCTCTTTTCACGTTTACATTAACATCGTTACAAAATGCTGACATTTGGGTTGTAAGATTTTTGAACAGCCTACGAAGAATCTTTATATTACTGAGTACAGCTGCCTTGAATGGCTGAAATTTCTCTGACTGCTTTTGTCACAGTGAAGTGTAAAGCTTTCTTCAAACCGATGGAAGTGAAACAGAACGCTCTCTTATAGTCTCGCAATACTTCAGTGAGTCTTGTTATCATGTGGATGTGGTCCATCGTATTGAACCCTTTTCGAAACCTTGATTTTTCACATGGCAATCCTTCGTCCAGTGTTCCGTCAATCCCGTTGAGGATGACAAGTGAAAAGCTTATAGACGACAGAGAGCAAGCAGATTGGGCGATAGTTGCCCATAATGTTGAAGTCATCCTTCCTGAACAATAGCACGGTCTTGCTGGCTTTCCACTGAGTAGGGACCTTGCATTCAGACAGGTAACGTGTGAAGAGGAGAACCAGTATGTTTACGAGGACTGGCGGAAGGTTCTTCAGGTGCTTATATCCTATTCTGCCCGAACCCGGTATTGTTCGATTCTCCACCGATAAAAAACAGCATATCGGATTTCGGAAACGAGAACCGGTGGCACGACATTTCCATTCCTCTTTATTTCATATGAGGGCTGGAGGATGTGGTTATTGAAGAGATCCGAGTCGGAATCGTGAATGATTTTCTCCATTGCCTTTCTGGACGCTGTAACTGTTCCGTCTGGGCGTCGGAGTGCAACCATTTTGGTCGTGTAATTGGCGAAGCTTCGGTGGGTTTTGCGAATGCTTTTCCCAGCCTCTGCAGCTTCGACAATTACTGCTGCTCTTCTCTTTTTAATCTTCTTTTATCGCCTCTCTGCATTGTTTTGCAAGTTCGGATGTTAGTTCGTGGTTGCCTGCAGCTCGTACGACTCAATGCTGGCGTACAAGCTCGAGTGTTTCTGGAAACAGACGTCTCTTTGTGACTTTTCCACTCTCAGCTTTCACAACGATAACGTGGAGACATTGAATGAGATCTGATCGTATTCCTCGTCGATGTCATCAAGAACGGCAGCTTTTCAACATTCGACCAATGTCCAATGACCTATGAACAAATCCCAGTTTATGGTGGTTTTGGGAAATCGCAAAGCCAATGCCGCCGACTTCTCCATAGTCGCATCTTTCGAGGAACAGCTCTACTCCGGTATCACAGACGGCGTTGAATAGGCACCGTCTTCCCGTCTCGCCCAGTCCGATGACGTCATACCTTATCCTTCTAGCCGACAAGATCAGATCCTCGACGGGTGGCTCGGATTGTCAACTTAATCTCACAAGATTTACGGCGCCTAAAATGGCCCTGAGGTTTTAGCCACATTTCCGTACTCTCCTCGTACTAATTAACACTGTCGTATCCGGGTCTCTTTCGGGTTCAGGAGAATGAGGTCCCTTTATTTTACTGTGTTTAGCGTTTGATAGCCACGAATAGTCTGCTAAGCTCTGAACATGATGGCTGAGTACATTTATAGGTAGCTTGCCAGTTTCTTCCAGAGTAGCCGAGGTCTCTCTTTGTTGCAGGCGAATCATGACTACCTTCCGTGTACTTCTCAGTCACCTGATCGCAGGCTTTTGGCGATTCATGGCGGTTGAATACAATCCGCATAAAGGAGATAACACCAAGCAGACATACATGAATGGATCTAAGTAAACACGGAAGGTATGTGCCGAAAAGGCGCAGTGGAAACACGGAGTCTACCTCCTGGATCCGTGTACGTTTCAAGAAAGCAAAAGGTAGCTTTCGTTACGCGTTCAACACCCTGTCCACCAGCTGAGAACGCGTTATGTAGCCTCGAAACTAACAAGCAATTAATCCCTCTGTGAGGAAAAGCCATTAATTTTTTCCTGTAAAATGTTTGAAACAGAGTTTGAACATGAGTGGATTCAACAGTAATCCTTTTCTTCTAGGTATAAAGATCAAAAAGACATCTGGAACACTGACGGTGAAAAAGCACTTACGAGTTCACGCCTGGATGGTCCGAACGCTCATCGACAATCTTGTCATATTGAGTAAAAATGTAGTCGGCTTCACCTCGATCACCAAATCCTCCCCATTCTGTGTCGATGATCATCTGCAACTCGATGAAATAGTTCGGTCACGGTGGAGTCGGTGGTGCCATAACACCATCCCATCAACTTTCCTTCTCCTAATTCCTACTAAGCGTGTTGTTTCTATGCCTAGTAATAAACAATGTGGAATTTATAGAGAAGAGTGTCAGGAACCGTCTGTTGTATATGTGCAAAAAGAAACATACGTGAATAAATAAGTACCCAGTCATTTACTTAAAAACATCGACCAAGCTTTTCAAAACAACTCATAAGTCCTGTATGCCGGAAATCAATCGTAATGAATAGAGTTAGACAGACATACAAGAAACCCAAGTGTTATCGGTTTAGAAAAAAATCAATCCATTCAAAAATGAATTATTAAAAATCGATTAAAGACGGGGCGTAAGAAGCACAGTGATAAGGCATAACATACAATATACGCATGGTCACTGGTTCTATCGCGCCCCTAACTAACCAAGTCTCCTATCCTATCCAGTACCTGCTTACCTCCTCATGAGGATATTCTACAGTTGCGTTCTGTAAACCGTACACTATCGCCTTCGTGCTCTCCATGTAGGAGGCGTTCGTACCGGTTCCTGAAAAGGAACGTGATATTCACTGCAGAAATGGTTTAACCATCACGGTCATAGGTTAGACATAATGAGGACCCTAGATATACAAAGATCAAGAGATGAAAAGGAACGGAGATAAAGAAAAAATGATTGAGAAAGCGTTTAGAAATGAATCCAGAGCACTGATAATGACATGCCGCTGAACATTTGGCTATGAAGTGCACTAGATAGTACAGTCAACTGGATTTTGCTCGAGGGATCTTTGATTTGTACGCGGCACTTACTAGTCTACTTCTTTTTAACTCTTTTCATAGTTTCTGATAGAGTTTGTGAAAAAACAACTTCTCCAAGGAGCTGAACAATCTCACCAATGATGACACCCAAGTCGCACTCTCCTCTCGTTTCGTAGGCGGCTGCGACCATTGTTCCAACCGTATCATTGATAAGTGCCACCACTTCGACTTTAATTCTCTACAAAAGAAAAAAGACAGATCTAAATGTTGATAAAAATCAAAAAGGATGCAGGTGGCCTAAAATCTATTATGCAAATTGTGTTAGCGAAATTTGGTGAGAAGTAATGGAAAACTATAGCACTGGCATAAGGATACTTCAACTATGTAGAAAAGGAAAACATCTCAAGGGTATTAAGGATCATTCAAAGGAATGAGGTATTTAAGCAATGGATTTGTGGTCAATGAATTCTTCAAAAACATCACATTATGTATTCACTTCTTATTTGCTACCTAATCTTCTTTTATGGCATGGTTTGATGTGAAATACAACCATAATAATGCTAAGATAATTAAAAAAAAACTCCGGACCGCTGGTATCTGAAGTGCGAATCGAACCCACTATTACCCTTTCTGGAGGCTAACGTTTTCACCAACACACTATGCGGGTCCTTCTTTTCGTGTTTCGAAAGGGTAATAGCGGTTTCGATCCACACCGCGGACAGCTGCTGAGTTTTGCAAATATCTCAGCATCATTGTGGTTGTACTGATTGTTGTTCACAGTATATTATAGATCGGCAATTTAAATACGTAAGCAATTCGAGACAGGACAAGCCTATGAAACTGACTATAAGCTGTCATTTTAAAAGTTTTTCTTTTTAAATTTTAACACAAGTGCAGAACACGAAGGAGGAGATACTTTCATCTTGCTCACTGCTGGACAAAACTCCTTGTACTCAATCATCTCTTTGCTGGAAGTATGACCCCAATGACAAGAAATGGAAGAAGATGATTCGCGGCCTAATAACCAAGTCACTTCTATGAAATATGATAATTTCCATTTCGTTAACAAAGATAGGAAGATTCTGCTAGTCCTATTCCGATCATCTTGAACTACATCTTACCCAAACTTGAGTCACAGTTTGGTTACGGGGTTAGGAATTCTAAAGAAAACATAATAGCACTTACGCCGTCTCTTTCAATTGCCTCTTCCAACAATTTAACAACATCTTCGCCAACGACACCAGTAGCGGTGACACCTTTGGTCCACCTATAAAATAAATACAAAAACAGTATTTAAGCTACAAAATAGCCTTCTACATTTGTGGACGCATAGAAGTTTTTGCAACTGCGCAATGACTATTCCCTTTAATGGTTTACCGTCCTGACGTCCCATGATATGGAACTGCGATGTACGGCAAGAGCACATCTCTCGCCATGTTCACCCAAACTGATGAGTTCAGCACCTGCATAAGGAAGTTAAACGGAAAGTAAACCTATTCATATTCCTCAATAAGGGATCAGCGGTCGACCAGTCAACAAGCCACGCGCTTCAGTGCAGAATATGACGCGCACCGCAGACGAAAGACTTGATGAACCTGGTCTAAGACCCGAATGGATTCATGGGATGGAATCATTGTTTCTGTTGCTCAGATTTGATATATGTTTTCTCTATGTACGTAAACACGTTCATAAATTCATCCGGGACTGTTCTCTGTTCTTTTATGTTATCAGAGGATTCTATCCTGACATCGATTCGGTGCAATCAACTAACTGGGAAATGCAAGAAAAAGTAGTCTGAGAGCGCGTCCAACAAACAGACATAAAAATTCCCTTGCAGTGCCACATCAGGCTCTCGCGGCTGTTTAGCAGCAAAGAGAGCAAAAACAAAGAGCATCAGAAAAAGCTCAAGATAAGGGACCGTTGGATGGGACGAGTACGAAAGCTGTCGAAATCAAAGAAGGTTTGGGGAACCGCATATACCTTGCTGACAGCACAAAAAATATTTATGACCAACATAGCAACTTTAAAACAGCAACTTCAGCATTCTATAGCAACATTATCATCGATGTAAATAGATGAATTCGAGAAGAGGATATCATCTTTCTATTAACCTCGGCATTGATTGAATAATTCTTTCCGAAATTCTAATTCTTGAATAATTTCTAAAATAGCACCTCGTGTTTGCTGAACAGAAGTAGAAAGAACTATGTGAATCTGTTTTAATTTTCATTCTTTTCTTATCCTCTTTTTACGGCTGGATACTATGTTTAATATAGCCTTTCAACCGAGGTCCTTGTTTTTTTTTTTTTGACCAGTCTTCTTTCTTACTCTATCGGTGCTATTCCGTTTCGCGTCGATGGATGATTTGTGACAACATCAATATGTTTAGAAGCATGGCTGAAGCAAAGGCCTCGGTTGTTGGGTGGGTGGGTGGGTAGTGCATGAGGCCTCGGTAAGGGAAGTCGCAGCTTTGAAACGTACATGAGGTTCCTTAATTTTGCTCATATCCCAGCACTCCCATGGTTATATGCATCTGTGTCGGGCAGTCGACATGATGGACAGTATAACTTCAGAACTGAGCGAAAGAAATTAACTGATTCGAACAGCTTATAACAACACAGAGGATCTAGTGAACAAGACAAAAAACAATCACCTCCCTTTTCTTTCTTACTCTGCGCTTCTTCCTTCCTTAACATAAAGATAAAAAGCTCTCGGCGTTGATCAATCCCTGAGGTATGCACCATACATTCAACTTCATTAAACACGGCTTACCGATGTATCAAGCCTGTGCTGCTATCCTCCCATAGAAGTCTGGTACTAATTTGCCGATCCCGGAAGGATGGAAGGCTTAGTGAGCCTGAGGCGAAGAGATAGATCCCATGTGTATTGCAGGGCGCCTCTGACCACAGCGCTACACACGCTTAACATAACGCCTTGAAAACCTGGGTTCTAGACAAGAAACACGAAAAAACAATTCGTGTTACTAGACTCTCCACCAATAGGATAATTCTAGGAGTGTGCCATATCACACAAAAGAAAAAGGCAAAATCCATGACAAGATCTAATAGCGACTGATCCCAACGGGATGTCAAGCGGGCAACAGGAAAACCACCAATCAGATGGTCAGACTCTTCCATGAGGATCCTAGAAAACTGCAAGATGCTGTTGGTGTCGGCCAAGTAAGAGAATCCATTGGAAAACTCCGGCATACGACAAAAAGTCGAACCCTGATGGCGTTCGCTCGAGTCACAAACGGTACTGGCAAGTGCGCGTGTTTCAGAATCAAACACAATTTTGTTCATTGTTTTGTTCATTCGCTTAAGCCAGAACCGTTAAATTATTTAAAATAACCATAATGTTAAGATATTTACAACACTTCAACACACCCCAGGCCAGATTCGAACCCATGATCAACCTTTCAGAAGCTCACATGTTACACCATTCAGGAAATTGGTTTATGTTCCTCTCAGCGAATTTTCTACCTAACGGTGCCATCAGCATTATTTTAAATAAGCTTAAGAATGAAACGCAGTGATCAGTAACGATGGATTGACAAGAAAAAATCGACGAATGTTTCTATATAAAACAGATTTTAATCTCTCCCTATGAAGGAAAACATTTTGTGGCAGAAAAACATCTAAAATGTGTAAAATTCATAAGGCAGCAAAGGATGAACGAATAAACGGTTCTGTATTGATTAATTTCTTACGGAAATCCCACGTATTCTACTTAAACACAGAGGGGACTTGAGCTACACTACAGCTTTCTGGGTCCATCAATGTAAAAAGTAGATTAATGTTTTTTTTTACCCTCCCAGACAAGTCTGATACCAATTCATCGACCCTGGATGAATGCCAAGTCTGGATTTCTTGAACACAAGATTGTACCAAAGACCACATGCATTGAAGAAATACCTCTAATCACTGCGCAACATCTGCATTCTAGTAGTATAATGACAAAATAAAACATTGCATTATATTAAAAAGCATTCAAGGATGCAAGTCCATCACCTCAACAACTTTGCGCTCCTAAGACTCGTTTGATCACACGGATAGGAGAATGTGAAGCCGACCGGCAAATTGTCATTGGCCAATTCTTTCTCAATGAGAAAGTCAGCCAACGCCTTGGCAATATAGTCGAACAGCTGAAAGAACGTATGAGAGTCGGGCCGATCTATCAGGTAACACAGAAGAGCAGTACCTGTTCGCCGCTGCCATGCATGGCAGCGTTAGAAATGCGGGTGTTGAACTGCTTCGTCCGCATCTCCTCGCCTGGTTCGATTTCCATGATCATCACTCGCAGGTTCGTACCTCCCAGATCCATAGCAACGAACTTACCACGTTCTAGACAACATGTTTCATGACTTTAAAGAGACTTCCACTATGAACATTCCTTAAATTGTTTTAAAACACTAGTTTAAAAGTAGAGGTTAGATGAAGAGAAAAGAATGAAACCACTCTAAGTAAATTATGTTTCGGTCCACAGAAAACTGGTTTATTTCAGTATTACAAAAAAAAGAAAAAACAAATGGGCAGGAAAATAAGGGGATTGCGCAGAAAATATGACAAGACGTTACCTGTTCCATCTGGGAGTTCAGGTACAAATGATGGAAGCATAGCGATTGTTGATGCCTTAAAAAAATTGCATCGTACAGGCAAAATATTAAAGTGACGGCTTGCCCAACTATAAAAAACAGAGCAACAACGTCTAAACCATCTTGTGAAATCTTCAGGAAGAAACTTCGTCACTTGTAAGTTCGCCACAACAGAAATATTCTCAGGTTTTCAAATCATCAACATGGCGAAAACTTTTTGTTCCTTTTGAAATTGTACGATATCCAGTCTTCCACACTTTTGAAGATTATAAGTTGACGTAAAATCCCGAGACTTTTAAAATTGATTGGAGCTTTACATTTTCACAAACAAGTTTCCCATTTGTATTCTATGTGCCTAGGATTGATTTAAAAAACAGCAAACTCACTTCCAGCCCACCCTCAAGCCCTCTATCCATATTGTCACTCATATGTGTCATCATTCTTCGTAGAGTGTTATTGGATAGTTTGAACTCGGCCATAACGGATTCGAGCTGAAAATGCACAAATCACTGAATAAGCAACTACCCATATCTTACCAGAAGTCGACCTTTGTGAAAGTTATAGAGATCTCCTCTGCCTCATAGAGAACATTCCCAATCATTCAGTGCCATCTACTGTGCTACGAAATTAACTGCTGCCGCAATTTCTGCATGATAACTATGCATCAGCTCTATAATAATGCTGCGCCCTAGTAACCTGCTCATCTTGATCACTGCGCTGTGTACGTTTGATCCTCGTCGACGTAGTTTCGAAAATGCCAAACGCTTCGCCAAGTCTTAAACCGCAAACAAAGATAGTGGATGCATACCATATCAGCATCTTGTCCCATTTCAGACAGGACATTTTCTACACAGCTAACAACGTGCTATATCATCGTTTTTTGCTCGCGCCACTTAAGTACTGTTGCAGACGACACTTTCCTACCGTGCTCTTTATATCATCTCTACTCACCAATCATTTTATTTTTATATTTCTTATTACAACATTTGTTGACAACACCATATCGTTACTGTTGTATTAATATTGTTACGTTTGAAGGCTTAGTTACGCAGGTTTGAGATCATAAGCTGCAGCACAAACAGCGGCCGATTTGGCACCCCGATTCATTCACTACAAAACTGATCAAAATTAGAAAACCTAAGCCGAGTGTGCTCACTGAAAGGTACTCCTGTTCTTTGAGGCGAGCATGACCAGCCAATTTCTTAATATCCTTCTTGATGACATATCGCTCGTGATCATCAACGATATGATGTCGTCCGTGATTCCAGGCGCTGAAATACGACAACATAAGAATCGAAACTTTCCAGAGGATAAAGCTATAACAACCAATCGAATAGCGAAACCGGAGGCCCGTGTACTAGAGACCCTATGTCTCGAATAGTGTATGGGACTTTAAAACGGTTTTGGTAGCTACTTTTAATGCGCAGCGAACGAGATCCTTTGTAGAAAAACGAATGCTTCAGAAATCTTGCTATTGTTCCACTTTCGCAGCATGTTGAACGATTCCACATGAACATTCTTTGTGCTTATTTCAGTTTTTCATCAATAACCACAACCTATTCTATTCATTCACTACATAAGCTCTAACTTTTTATTCTTATTCTGCAAACTTTTACTATGGTTGCTTTAATTCATAGAATTTTCCTAATTCTTTATCAGTACTTATTACCTTTCTTTAAGAATTTACCACTTCATCATGGTATATGGGTGTTCTTGGTTGCCGTACAGCCACACACCGTAAAGTGTTGACATATCGGCAGGTCACCGATAACCATTGGTAGACCTGCGCCAGAGTTTGACGCGTTTATAAAATAAATAAAATGTGGCAAAGCATGTGTAATCACAAAGCCTAGCGACAACCTATAATTGTGACGACCTAGGAAAGTCCTAGGAGGTATACCTCGGCACTTTGAAAAACTGAGCTCATGTACCAAAATACTGCGTAGGTGGGAATGATGTCGTGAAAAATTGATGAAGAAAGATTGTGAATGTCTTTTAATGGCTACCCTTTATAATTCACATATTTTTACAGAAAACCCTTATCAGCTCACCTGTAACAGCAAGCCAGCTCTAAGGCTCCAAGCATTCGGGATCCTTAGGTTCTGATTCGACCTGAAATCTCAGCTGCTTACGACGGATGTAGTCCCATATTTCAACAGTTCGACAACGCGAGAGGTCCATAGCAGGATAAATAGTAGAGAAGCATAAATGTACAAACAATACACAGAATAACTTCGTTAACGTGGAAAAGTACAACGATAAATATTACCATAAAAAGCCTTCAAATGGTTTATGAAGAACGAGCCTCCCAGAACAGAATGCCCGATGGTGGTTTTTCGACAATCAACGATAAGTCCTCGATCACTAAAGTGTTTTCCGAGTTCAGAACGTCACATATCTATAGATGCTACATCGCATTAATCGCATATAAGTTTCACAAAATAATCTTCCCATTTTAAATTGGTTCAGAATTTTCCAAAACAAAAGACGATGCACGCAAACACCAGCGATATCTTGCTCTAGAAAATCGGAATTTCATCCTGATAGTGTTTGGCTGAGTAGAAGCGATTTAGAGTAGGGATTCCCAAGAACGGCCACCGAAATGTTGGAACTGTAAAGCAACGAAATGGACTGAAAGAAGTGCTCGTAACCAAAATTAGTCGCCTACACTCGCAGCTGCAGTTGTTTTACAGATCACAGTATGAGGCTCGCATGCGCCACCATGGAAGACGATTGCGAAGGAAAGAAATGAGTGGCAAATGTGCTGGGGTCCGAAAAACTCGTGAAGCCGGACCGCCCACGTATCCAAGTAAGTAAGAGTAAGAAAAAATTTTCTATAGGCATAAATCTGCAGACGCAAATCATTCTTCTTCAATGTTTTTCTTCAATAAGCAGACACGAGGTTGTTAATATAGAATTTATCAGAATACAATAGCTGACGTTTCGGCGGTTTCGCCTTCTTTAGGACCTGGAAAGGTCAAATTGAGTTGTGATCTACTCAGCCAAACACTTTCATAACCCTAACAGATAAAACTTGACAAATCGATTTGCATTCGCATAAGAAACAGCTTCATTCAAACACCTACCGTTTATTTGTTGTAAGTATTTAAAATAGTTGATGGAGAAAGTTTCAAAATTTACTAAATCATTCGCAAAAACCATCCATAAGTGAGCCCGCGACGGTGTTGAACCAACATCGTGCTCATGATGAATGGGCATCACCATCACTGCTCCGTTCTGATGTTTCAGAATTTTGTCATTTCTACAAATGTGTTTTTTTTATCTTTTTTTTCCTTGATAGGCTGGGCAAAGTGTTACAATATTCTTTAATATCTAACACTCGATCTCCATTGAGTGCAATGGATTTTGTGTGGAAGTAATGGATGCTGTGAATGATATGCATTGGGTGCAATACATTTCGCGTAAAAGTAACGTCCGCCCTCAACTTTAAACTAGTATATTTCATCTCATACCAAACTTCTATAGTATGAAGAAGAATGTAGCAATTCCCAAGACCGACTTTCTGTTAACCTCGGCATTTGAATGTTTTTCTTCAATAAGCAGACACGAGGTTGTTAATATAGAATAGAATCTCATCCCTCCAGGGGTTGGGAATTCGGTACCAAACTTGTCTACGAACAGTTGACTGTCTCCAATGCAAGTGGAAACACTCTAACCTGACTCTCTAAGCACTTCAAGGAGAACCGACTCTACCGCACTCAACAACATTCATGACGAAAGGAAGCTGCTCAGGCAGTAACCCAAATCACATGCAAAAAGTTGGAAGACCTTCCTGGAAGATGGATATGAGGAAAAGAATCGAATACAAAAAGTGCTGCACAGTAGATGTAAAAGATTTGAAAGAAGAGTTCTTTAAAAAGAAATAGGAGAGTTAGGCGGAATGAATGGAACCATCGTGACGTACGGATTCTAAAGAATTAAAGTCCGAGAATGTCCACAGAAATGAACAGATTTATGTCGAAAATTATAACCACGATTGAGATCCATAACATTAACGTAAAAGAGATTTAAAGGAGACGAAACAACTCTTAACAAGAATTAAACCACATTCAAAGTTATAAAGACGATTGGACATGTTAGGAGTTGAATGGAATTTTTCGGAACAAAATCAAACCTTTAAGAACAATCAATAACGACGAAATATTGATTTTTGTTAGCAACAAGCGTTTTGGCTTAATCTGTCTTCTTAATCACCACAACGGCTTCCATCTGTAGTACTGTCCCTTCTAAAATTCACTTAGGGAGAGAAAAATTTTGCATTTACCTACCGAATTAGCTACAAAATCTACCTCTTACGGTTCCACTTTGCTGAATCTCCAACCTTCTATGGTATTTTAAATCACTCAATTACTGCGAATCTTTCAGTTCCAAAACACTTGGGTAAGAACATTCATTCTTAACCCACCCTCTTCCTGTCATACTACAGATCAAACGGATCTTTAAGGTACACCACAACAGAAATCAATAGTTTCAACGAGAAAATATGAAAACACTAGAATAACTTGTAGTGGAAAATGGAACTATTGTCATTAATTGTTCGAAACAAAAATGCCGACCTACTTTTCTAAAATTGGACGTTGGAAGTCTTATCCCTTGTGTTAACGGTGCTTCTAAAGCGTACATACCTGTCTTTGATTTCATGTAAATCCGCGTCAAAGTTGGGCCATTGGAATAAAAATGGAATAAAGAAAATTCTAACAATATTTTCGCACTAATAAAAAATAGATTTAAAGCCGGGGAAACTCTTTACTATACAAAAATCGGAGTCCAGGAAGATTGTGGAACTCTTTCGATGATAACCACTTGAAGACGTCGACTGGAGCACATCCAAGCAAAATGAGCAAACGAACAATTCGAGAACCGGCTGAGCAACAAGGCGTAAGTAACACAGCAGTTTAAAAACCACTTAACAAAACTTCAAAGGCAAGAAGAAATTAGAAAAACAGATGCCGCATCAAATGGGGAAAAATCAAGAAGATCGTCGACACAAAATCTGTACTGGACTTCGTCACCGCCACCAACTCAGGCGTTTCCTGATCGCATTATGATATGTGATAAGAATGGGATACTGTTCGGCAAACTGATGACGATGTATGTACTTGTTCGATAGAGCCGAGAAATCGAAACATCTTTCACAAAAGAAGTCGGTAAAAAGAGCGCTGTGGCACTTTCTAGGTGTTTAGCAGATGGAAATATTCGCAATAAATCACTACAACACAGAGATGTGAAGAAAACGACGATATGCATGAAAAACTGCAACATGAGTTCAGTTCACGTTGAATCATCGATTCAACTCCGTGACAACCCAATATGGTTCAGAGTAGTATGGCTCATTCGAGATGCTCAACTGAGGAAGATCCGGTTCGACGCAAGATGAAGACGCCATATCGAGAAGAGGAACAACCGTGGGCCATCGACAACGATCGTCAGCTCTAATGAAGATGAAGACGTCGAAACGTTAGCCGAATAAATATCTCTATCTACCTCGCGTAAGCTCAACAATATAAACACATATTGATGATTATAGCACCGAGGTTAAACGACGGTCAGTTTCAAAATTATTGCTTTACTACGATAAATGTTTCTACAACTTGAAACAGTTAAGAAGCATACAATGCTCTGCCTTATCCAGCATTCTCGTCGTACCCACACGCCAACCCAGTGTCACTTACTCGAGCACCCAGACAACCACCTGCAAGGTGCCCCAGAAAGTGACAACAACAAAGAAACTGCTGTAAATATGTCTTCACATGATTCATGAGGTTCCATCTCTACTGTGGTAGAATAAACAAAGTTGTATTCTTCTATAACGCTGAGATACTTGCAAAACTCCGGACCGCAGGTGTCAGCGGTAGGGAATGAACGCGCTATTACCTTTTCCGGGGAGGTACGCGTTCACCACCATACCATGCGGATCCTTCGTTTCGTCTCTCAGATAGTTCAATCCCGTTGACGAGTGATTGCTGGTGGGAGTGATCGGTAGAACTATCTGAGAGAAAGGCGAAACGAAGAACCCGCGTGGTGCGGTGGTCAAGTGCGCTACTCCCCGGAAAGAATAATAGCGCGTTCGTTCCCCACCGCATACACCTGCCGTCCGGAGTTTTGCAAATATCTCAGCATTATAAACGAGTTATATCTCAGTATTGTAGGAGTTATATTTCGCAACATACCCTGCCATTAAAAAAGAATAGGCAGTAAATAAAAAGGTTAAGAAAGTTGTATTCTGTTAGAAAAATGTATACACTCCACACAGAACTCCAACAGATTCGATTAACGGACTTTACTGTGAGCTAATACATGTGTATTCAATGACGTTAAGGGTTAAGAACGATGATTACTACTATATGATTGTATCTCAATGGGGATGTATACAGAATGGATGAATGAAGAGAAGAAGAGAAGAGAACAGAACAAAGCATTTGTTGTTAATCAATGTTTTAGCGATGATCCATGCGCTCCACTCCATGCGTAGTGGCATAGAACTGATTGAATACATACGTAGCCTATACAACGACTTTCGGAAGCCGGCTCCACCAATATACCAATCCAATGTTTTCATTCTCACAGATTAGTTTGCTAGCAACCTGCTGATCACGGAAAGACAGGGGTGGGGACGAAGTTTGCACACGGCAAAGTTGAACCAACGATGTGTGTCACGCAGGGTGCAGTACACCTCTAACAACTGGGCTACACATCCCTGGAGAAATGCCCACACGTTTTTCTTTTCCATTTCTCTCGGCTACTGTCACGATCTTTCACAAACTTTTCTCTTATACTGCACTCGATTAACAACATGATCAGGCATCACAATGAACAAATCAGTCATAGCAATGTTCCTTCCTCTCCACTACCTATTCAGCCAATTTTTCCTTGATTCCACGACCAATTTTCTTTTATGTTCAGCACCGATCAACAATTCACGGCTTTCTTAGTGAGCAAACACGAATTTGTCGTTACAGCATTTATTCAATCACAACAGCTAACGTTTTGGCGAGTTAGTCTTCTTCAGAGTCTGCAAAGGTCAAGTCGAAACTCATTCTACGGAATAAGTTCCAGGGACGCAAA